AGCTAAGCCAGCCGAGCCCAGCTCGGCTCGTTTTTTCACGAGCAGCTCGGGGCTCGTGAAAAAAACAATAAAAAAATTTAAAAAAAAAGCTAAGAAAAGCTTTAAAAAAAATTGATGAGCCATGAGCCGTGCCTGCTCGGCTCGTGAGCTCGTGGGCCGAGCTCGAGCAAACGAGCCACGAGCCGGCTCGGCTCCACCAGCTCGTGAGCTCACAAGCCGGCTCGGCTCGTGAGCTCGTGACTCCACGAGCCAGTCGAGCCGAGCTCGTGAGGCTCGACCCATTGACATCTCTAGACGTAAATCATCGATTGGGATCAAACCTCTACAATTACTTCGTTTACACTATCTTTTCCTTTTACTTGTCACTTTCGTATTTGTGCATTTTGTTTAATTGACTTATTCGTTCCTAACTTGCTTGAATTTGAATCAATTTTCGAAAAAGTTTTGAAAACTAATTCACCTCCTCTTGATTAATTATTTTTGGGCTATCAATTTTGGTGTAAATAATGAAAATTCAGAAAAATTAACTATTTTCATAGTTATTTTTGCTTTTGTATGCTTGTATGTGTTAGATAAATTTGCCTACTGTGATGCATATATTTGGAACTATGTGTTAGACTATAAATTGTGAAAAAGTTACATGTTGGGTTGATTTATGCTTATTCATATGAAAACTTAGATATTTTTTGTACACAAGATGTATGTTTTGCATCATGAAGGATTAGTTTGATTCAAAATTTTGAACATGTTGAAAAATAGAGGACATTAGATGCAAAACTCAAACAACCACTAATTATAGTTGCTTCTTTTGTTAATATAGTTGCTCCCTTGTGAAAAGTAGACCAGCATTTGTTGCTTCACGACTCGTGAGGAGAATGAAATTTGCCCACAAACTAGCTTCTCTAGCTACAACTTCGAGTGTCGAATGGAGTGGGATTGTAAATCAATTTCTATTTCATTTGTTGTTCGAGATGACATATCTCAACGAGATTTGTTTTATCTTAAAATAAAGTAGGATTCAGATTAGAAAGACTTATTTTTTCTATTCCATTTGGCTTTCAATTATTTAAGCCATCTACACTAAACAAGATCAGACATACTCATTTGCCAACTTAACATCATTTCTTTGCTATCTGTCTTATTGTTCAGTTGGAGGCAAACGAATGAGAATTATTGCGTTGGGCAACATTGATTCATAGGTTGCAAGAAGCCTTGAGGCATTTGGCTGCATAATCAAACTTGTTATGGGCAGTTTAGAGGCTTTCTTCTTGAATCAACACTGCTTTGTCCTGTACATGTGATTGAATCAAGTATGTACTTTCTTTGCAAGTAATTTCTTTGCAAATGTGTCGTGATGTGAATGAATCGAGTCTACTTTCGACAGATGACACATCGTGTAGTTCATTAAACTAATCGCTATACACATTCTTTTTTGCCACTTCATTCGAGTTAGGATATTGAGCAAGTTGGTACAATAATAAATTTGCACACGGAGAGTGAAGAACAAAGACAGGGAACACAATGCTGATTTTTATTACAAAAAGTATCTCCCTGATATACTCGAATAGAAGAAGGCCACATTAAGTACGAATATAGGGTTCAAACAGCTTTACACAAGGATTTGGATCATACTGCAAAATTTCTGCGGCTCGTTCAAACTCTTCCCTGAGGACTCTTATGCTATACTTGTCCACCACTCGACCAAGATCGTGGGATAACTCAAATGGATCCTCTATGCATATCAAGTGACGGTCATTACCAATTCTTTTAGTCCAATCTTTAGCTCTCTTGCTGAAGGTACAAAGTGATCATGATCAGCCATTGTGCTCAAAGGAATACAATATTTTCCCTTTCTTTTTCCATTTTTCTTCTGGTTGGGGTAGGGTTTGGTAGCGGGGGACGGGGCATTGCTTCAACTATATCCAAATTCGTTTCACCAGTTTTAATCACATGCACTTTTTTACTTATATGACAAATCTCAGGGCTTCCACTTATCATTGCAAAACTGAAATGACATAAAATATCCTAATTTGAAAAATTTCAACCCGTGTGCATCTGAAATTTGACGAACTAACAGCATAGAAACTTTAAATTGTTTGCGTGATGCTAATTTTATTTTCTATCTAAAACTACCTAAATATTTGATATCCAAATTATCCATATAATAAAGTTCATCTTTATGTCTGTAACTAAACTATAGAACTATATTCACACATGCAAATGTTTCTTACCTCAGTGTGCATCCTGATCGAACAGATATAACATCATTTGCATAATCATGAAAATATGCCCAATAGTGGAAAAAAGCCCAAACCAACTGAGCAATACTTTCCCTGTTCCGGGACCCAAAATCACAAAGCTTTTCAACTTGATCGAAATAAGCACATTCAACATTGTCTATAGTTAGACAGTAAGTGAAATCCATTCCCTGTAGAAGGACGAGAAATATATAATAAGAGTAAAACAATGTTTGTTACTAGCTCCCATCTCTTAACCTCATCCCATGTACACACAGCCCCTAAATGGAAGAATAGTTAATTCCAAGTTTTACTGAAAAGAAATCCAATAGTTATATAATGAAACTGAAACCAGTTACATATTTTCAAACGCATGCGTAGATAGCTCTAATATAATTACTGAGAAATTAAATCATCATCAAGATTATTTTTACGAAGAAAAAGATGAGTTACCAGCATACTGGTGTTATGGAAACAATTTGGAAGTGTCTCTACCAGAAATATCTAACATCATGAAATCATATCACTCTAAGAATGTAAATCATTGTTAACAAAGAAAAGTCTCTACCAGAAATCTAAAAGTAAAAGAATAAGCAGCAAGTGCACTTAACTTCAATTGAAAATATAATAATACCTGCAAGCATGGAAGAATAGCTGGTCTCCGCTGCTGTAAGAAATTAATGCACATTAACACATACCTGAAACGATGTTAACTAATTAGCCAAAGAAAGTAATATACTAAGGTTGGGAATGTAAAGATAATGGACAATTCAAGACTCACGCATAACTAGACAGTGTTCCTTGGTAAGTTTCATTGACTCCTCGTGATTTAGCCCAGTGTTTCACAATGAAAGCCAACTGCCGCAGTCTCACATCTATATGCACATAATCCTGAAGCAGCTTTGTATTTACAACTGCCAGCATGTTATTCATGCAAATGTCACCGGAAATACCAGTGACTGGATCCATGAGCTTAACTATGGGAACCCTGGCACGTGTAAGTGCCTGTGAATAAAATATGAAATTGAAACGAAGATCAATACATACATTCAGGCTCAGACCTCCATATACATGAGATAAAAGGGTAGAGCGAGGAAAACATATCATCCAAAAAAACCAGATAACAGAGCTGAGTAAGGATATGTCAACCTTTTGAGTTTAACAACAAAAAATAAGTTTCAAATTCAAGTATAAGAATTAAAAGAAAGACATTATTCACCTGTACATTCTGAAGATTGTCTGCCTGCAGTATACCAGCCAACTTTAACAAGACCTCAGACTTGTCTGAATTTGCAGCTTCCATCACAAGGCAAACATCAATGTCGCTTTTTGAAAAGTCAAATGAGTTAGCACATGATCCATAGAGATGCAATTGGGCGTCAGGCCATTCTTTGCTAACAAGCTTCTCCAATAAAGTCAACAATTGTTTTTGCTTAGCCTTTTCTTCATCAAGTGGGATCAACAAGTCATAGATAGCTAGGAATTCAGCATTCAACATGTTTATGTCATTTCGACACATTGTCTGCCTTTTCACATTCCTCATCCTCTGGTTAAGTATCCATTGCCCTCTCTTATCGGATCTATGATCCTGACCATAGAAAAAATAGAATTATCAAGAAAAGTTCATACCCTAGGCTCTAGTTGAATCGTCATAAAATTCAGATACAAGCAAATATATTCAAACAAATTAAAGGAGTCTAAGAGAATCCTTTAGTTGGAGAAACAGTAACCAACTGCTAAGCATCCAAATCCTCGTGTCAATCAATGTTCTTATAAAATACAAAAACAAAAATCATATACTACACCCACATTCCCAGACAGTAATGTCACTCTTTTAGTCACCATAAAGATCTCATCCCAAATACTTGTTATTCATCCTTTGTGCACACTATTCAACAAGAAGTATTTGATATTCTGCCAGAATTTTAGAAATTATATGCACTAAAATGCTAAAAATAAAGGCCACTTGGTTTGATAACATCCAATCTCTACCTAGCCAACATATTTCATTATATAGCAAAGAAACAACCTTGTATGCAGAAATTTTCCTTCAATTGGACCCTTGAAATTGATATCTATAGTTCAAAAAGATCAGATTCCCTCGAAGTTCTTCAGGAACCGTCTTACATAAGCCTGTCCCCATCCCATTACCTTTGTCTAATAATAACTTGACAAGTTACGCACAGATATTTAGGCATGTAGAATGGGAGACTTTTTGTTAACAATACACATATCAAGTGGGGTTCTCCAACAGCACTTAAAATGCCTAATGTTTGGATTTAATTTGGAATGGAAAAATGAGAAAGGAGGGTTGTGAGCGTTGAATATCCAGGTAAGCTTATCTCTATTTGGATAGCCCAGGTTTTGAAATAATTTCCAGGTCAAGTGAAAATATGAAATTCAAAAGTGAAAATATGAAATTCAAACGTACTTTCCTACTAACAGCAATTAGAGCACTCTTGATCACAAAGCAATAGAAATATTATATTTGAGAGTTTCAAATTATATTATAAGCCCTAAATAACTGTCAATAATCTATTAATGCATAGGAGCTTCCTTTTTTTTCTTTTTTTTTTTTAAATCATGTTTTTCCTACCCAGTGGTCCCATGAGCAAAGTCTATACATTACCCAAGGTTAGTTGGGTTACATAATTCCCAATACATTCAGAAATCACATTTATGTGCTATTACCCAAGGTTCAGTTTATATCCATAATAGGAAACAACAATTCCTAAGACACAAATCTCGGAGCAACATGAGCATAATCACTTAATCCAGAATAACAGAAGCACAGGACATGGAAGCAAAGCAAACCTTGACCCGGTGATGTTTCTTTTTACCACTTTTCTCCTGAGATTTTTCCTCAAGTCCTAAAGAATTCACAAGTTGTTCCTCCAAATCATCCAACTCATTCTGCCCTCGAGCACCATTCCCCAATTCTTCCCCACTATCCAACTCACCATGAAATTTCCGCCTAGAATCCTCAACATTAGAGGTCGAAACCAAATGAAAATTGCTGTCAGTTGGCGGAGCAGGGCAATCAAGCTTGCTATTTGATCCCTTCCCATCCAAAATACGAGCACCACATACAACGTTCTTGTCCGAAAATATCCTCTCCTGTTTAACTCTAAGATTATCATACAAACCAACGGTTCTATGGCTCAAACTACCCTTACCTTTATTGAGACTGTGCTCCAAGCTTCCCTCTCTAGACCCATACTCCCTATTTCCCACATTACTTACATTGCTTGAAAACCTAGGCCTTGGAACTACAACTGCATAATTCCCATTATGCCTTTGATTTCCCCTGCTGTTACTATTCTTACTCCTTGGTTGCCGATAACCCTTCAAGTTACGAGAGTTTCTTTGCGAGTTCTGATTAATCTCAATTGAATTCTGAGAATCAACTCGAAAACCATTCAATCTTCTATTACTCCCTAGTTCATCCGCAAAATGTGAGTTCCCAGATTTACCTATTTGACTTAAACTCTCTTTCAAAGCACTTCCATTCAATGCGGTATCATTATCAATGATTTTTCTGTTTAAAACAGCACTGTCTATGATTTTTCTGTTTAAAGATCCAAAGATGATATTGGGTTCTTCCCGAACAGCAGGGAGCGGCATCGAATTCTCCCCAAAACATCCTAATTTCCTTAGATCATCACCCACTGAGGCGTGGTGAAACTGATGACTATACTGATCGGAGGGGTGACTGAAACCCCCAGGTGGTGCGGGAAAATTAGGATTCAAGTTAGAATTAGGGTTTTGTGGGAAGCAAATGTGAGGGGCAAAAAGTGGCGAGGAATGCAAATTCGACCACTGGCCGTAAGAATCACGACCGTTCAATAAAAATACTGGCTGCGACTGCAAGAATGGTGTAACTGTATGCCCCACAGCCACAACCGCCGGATCAAAGGGTATGGTTTGGGAAGGTGGGTTTTGCTGGATTTGCACAGGGTGTAGTTGCTGTGGTCTCTTGAGGAGCTGGAGAAGAAACTCCCCGCCTTTCACAGGCGGCGCGTCACCTCCACCATTATCCATGGCGGCGGCGGAGCACAGTAAATCGAAATATGAGTATTATAACTGGATATTATTGAACCTAAACGCAGATTACAGATTACTTGGGATTTTTAAGGAAAGATTAGAGAAAACAGTAGTTTTTAACTTTTTAGTTTTTACAGCTACGCTAGATAAACGTGGAAGAACATTATGCGCAGTCAAACGTGTACTATGGAGGGCATGATTCTACCATCACGAGTGCTAGAAAGAATTTGACATCTTAGATGATATATACTCACAGTTGCGGGGGTGGGTGGGCGGATTTTTTTGCATTTTACATTCACGTGGATCTCATGCGGGGCCCATGCACATGTGAAAGTAGATCATCCAAAATGTCAAATTCTTTTTGGCAACATGGCTTAATTCAATTAACACTACCATCGTGATTGACATTTTGGTTGACATTCTCTAATAAAAAGACATAAATATCATTCCTCTATTCTTTTGTTAAATCAAGGTTTTTTATTCCTATTATAGAATAGTTTTGGTTTATTTCTCTCAAATAAATGAAAAAGTCAATTATACTCGTTTTTATCAATATATCCTTTATCAAAACAATTATTTAAT